AGCCTCTCCGTTTTGCTCTTGCTTCTGTTCTAAGATCACTAGCCCCGGAATTTGTTGAGTCAAAATCGGAGAAATTTGATATTAGAACTAGAAAGCGACTGTTTGATCTGCTTCTCTCCTGGTGTGATGACACGGGCAGTACATGGGGTCAAGAAGGTGTTAGTGATTACCGACGTGAAGTAGAACGTTATAAGTCTTCTCAGAATGCACGGTCAAAAGATTCTGTGGACAAAATATCATTTGATAAAGAACTTAGCGAACAGGTTGAGGCAATCCAGTGGGCCTCCATGAATGCTATGGCTTCACTCTTGTACGGGCCTTGCTTTGATGATAATGCGAGGAAGATGAGTGGCCGGGTTATATCTTGGATCAACAGTTTGTTCATTGAGCCAGCGCCTAGGGCTCCATTTGGGTACTCACCAGCTGACCCAAGAACTCCCTCTTATTCAAAGTACACAGGAGAAGGTGGTCGTGGGACTGCTGGTCGTGATAGGCATAGGGGTGGTCATCATCGTGTTTCTTTAGCAAAACTGGCTTTGAAGAATCTATTACAAACAAATTTGGACCTGTTTCCTGCTTGTATTGATCAGGTACTCATGTTTCCTTTGCTCTATTCCTATTCAATTATCGTTAGATCTTTTCAAGTAAGAAAATCCAGTTATGGAGTGCACCCCTGAAGGCTGATTAGCCTATGCTAGGCAGAGTCCATTGGCCTATAGCTCCTTTTATCCTCCCCACTTAAGAATTTTATAAGTTGATTCACTTTCTTTTTTTTTACTACGCAAGATAATTGATGAATTGTTAATTCATTAGTAAATCTATCGTATTTTCAGATGATACCTTGACAATCAACAAGGTAATTCTGACTTCCTAAAAAGTAAACTGGTGATTCAAAAACTGAGAATCCACTGAATGCTTTGCAAGTCAGTTGGTTTCAATAAAATGTCAAATTTCGGCTCTTCTTTTTTGCTGAAAAAGTCCACATACACGCTCTCTGGTCTTCACTTACATGTTCACTGCTTTCTGAATTGCTAGGTTGGTATGCAGTTTTCACTCTAATTTGTTGTGAACTTAATGTTATAGCTCGTAAGGATTTTATTCTTATAAATAAATAAATAATTGATACTTTGTTGCAGTGCTATTACTCCGATGCTGCTATAGCTGATGGTTACTTCAGTGTGCTAGCTGAGGTCTACATGCGCCAAGAGATACCAAAATGTGAAATCCAGAGACTTTTGAGCCTGATTCTCTACAAGGTGGTAGATCCATCGAGACAAATCCGTGATGATGCTCTTCAGATGCTTGAGACACTTTCTGTTCGCGAGTGGGCTGAGGATGGCATTGAGAGCTCAGGGAATTATCGGGCTGCTGTTGTGGGTAACCTTCCTGATTCTTACCAACAATTCCAATACAAGCTCTCGTGCAAGCTTGCCAAAGACCATCCTGAGTTGAGCCAGCTCCTGTGTGAGGAGATTATGCAGAGGCAACTTGATGCGGTTGATATTATTGCACAGCATCAGGTCTTAACATGCATGGCTCCTTGGATTGAGAACCTAAATTTCTGGAAACTCAAGGACTCAGGTTGGAGTGAAAGACTACTAAAAAGCCTTTACTATGTGACGTGGCGGCATGGTGACCACTTCCCTGATGAAATTGAGAAGCTTTGGAGCACAATTGCTAGCAAACCCAGGAACATTAGTCCTGTTTTAGATTTCTTGATCACGAAAGGGATAGAGGACTGTGATTCAAATGCATCTGCAGAAATAAGTGGTGCATTTGCTACATATTTCTCTGTTGCAAAGCGAGTAAGTTTATACTTAGCACGGGTATGTCCTCAGCGTACAATTGACCACCTGGTTTACCAGTTAGCTCAGCGGATGCTGGAGGATAGCATGGATCCAATTGGGCCAACTGCAAATAAGGTTGATGCTAATGGAAATTTTGTGCTAGAATTCTCTCAAGGGCCTGCAGTGCCCCAAATTGCATCACTTGTGGACATCCAGCCACACATGTCACCATTACTTGTCCGGGGTTCCTTTGATGGTCCATTAAGAAATGCAAGTGGGAGCCTAAGCTGGCGAACAGCAGGTGTGACAGGCCGAAGTGTCTCGGGTCCAATAGGCCCAATGCCTCCTGAGTTGAACATTGTTCCTGGAAACACAGGCCGATCAGGTCAGCTCCTTCCAGCACTGGTAAATATGTCGGGGCCTTTAATGGGGGTCAGAAGTTCAACAGGAAGCTTGCGGAGTCGCCATGTTTCCCGGGACAGTGGAGACTACCTTATTGATACTCCAAACTCGGGTGAAGATGGGTTGCACTCTGGGGTTTCCATGCATGGGATTAGTGCTAAAGAACTTCAGTCAGCCTTGCAGGGTCATCAGCAACATTCGCTGACTCATGCAGATATAGCATTGATTCTACTTGCAGAAATTGCATATGAAAATGATGAAGATTTTCGCGAGCACTTGCCTCTTCTATTTCATGTTACATTTGTTTCGATGGATAGTTCGGAAGACATTGTGCTGGAACACTGCCAGCATCTGCTCGTTAATCTACTGTACTCTCTTGCAGGACGGCACTTGGAACTGTATGAGGTTGAAAATAGTGATGGAGAGAACAAGCAGCAGGTTGTCAGCCTGATCAAGTATGTCCAGTCAAAGCGAGGAAGTATGATGTGGGAAAATGAGGACCCAACAGTTGTGAGATCTGAGCTTCCAAGTGCAGCATTGTTGTCTGCACTAGTTCAGAGCATGGTGGATGCTATCTTCTTCCAAGGAGATCTTCGTGAGACTTGGGGAGCAGAGGCACTCAAATGGGCAATGGAGTGCACATCGAGACACCTAGCCTGCCGCTCACATCAGATTTACCGTGCGTTGCGGCCTAGTGTCACAAGTGATACATGTGTGCTGCTTCTCCGGTGCCTTCATAGATGCCTAGGAAATCCAGTACCTCCAGTTTTAGGATTCATTATGGAAATTTTGCTGACATTGCAAGTGATGGTGGAGAACATGGAACCAGAAAAAGTGATACTGTACCCACAACTCTTTTGGGGGTGTGTGGCTATGATGCACACAGATTTTGTTCATGTCTACTGTCAAGTGCTTGAACTCTTCTCACGTGTGATTGACCGGTTATCATTCCGGGACAGAACAACAGAAAATGTGCTTCTTTCGAGCATGCCTCGGGATGAGTTTGATGCTAATAATGACATTGGGGACTTCCAACGAATGGAAACCAGGAGTGGCTATGAACAGCCTCCATCTGGAGGAAATCTGCCAACATTTGAAGGGGTGCAGCCTCTTGTTCTTAAAGGACTCATGTCAACAGTTAGTCATGGTGTTTCTATTGAAGTTCTCTCGCGGATCACAGTGCACTCATGTGACTCTATATTTGGAGATGCAGAGACAAGACTCTTGATGCACATCACAGGCTTACTTCCCTGGCTCTGCTTGCAGCTTAGCAAGGATCCAGTGATGGGGCCTGCTTCGCCACTCCAACAGCAGTTCCAGAAAGCTTGCTCTGTTGCGGCCAACATCTCAATTTGGTGTAGAGCAAAGTCATTAGATGAATTGGCTACTGTATTTATGATTTACTCTCGTGGTGATATCAAGAGTATCAACAATCTCCTTGCTTGTGTCTCACCACTCTTATGCAATGAGTGGTTCCCAAAGCACTCAGCATTAGCTTTTGGGCACTTATTACGACTACTGGAGAAAGGGCCAGTTGAGTATCAGCGTGTGATACTGCTCATGCTTAAGGCATTGCTCCAGCACACTCCCATGGATGCTGCCCAAAGTCCACACATGTATGCGATTGTGTCCCAGTTGGTAGAGAGCACTTTGTGCTGGGAGGCACTGAGTGTATTAGAAGCTCTTCTGCAGAGCTGTAGCTCAGTGCCAGGTTCTCACCCTCATGAACCTGGTTCGTTTGAGAACGGGATAGGCGGTGGTGATGAGAAGATGCTAGCTCCTCAGACCTCATTTAAGGCTCGCAGTGGGCCGCTACAGTATGGTATGGCATCCCCATTTGCCACAGGTTCAACACCTGCACACGGGAGCTCAACTGAATCTGGAACTTCACCTAGAGAAGTGGCTTTGCAAAACACACGGCTTATCCTTGGGCGGGTTCTTCACAGCTGTGCACTAGGGAAGAGAAGGGATTACAAAAGGCTGGTGCCTTTCGTGACTAGTATCGGCAACCCATAACCTACACACACGTGCAGGCTATATCTTTTCTTTCTAAGATATTTAATGTATATTAGTGGATGGATGATGATGCGCGGGCCATAGAAGAAAGTTTTACTGGATTTGTATATAGTAGTGCTTTGTGAAGCTAGTGGGGGTGTAATATACTTTGTACAGTCAAATCATTTAGAGGTCCTTCTATGAAGAATAATCTTAAATCCACATTTTTGTCAATCTTTTAATTGTTTGCTGCTCTCGATTTCAAATCCCTTGAATTTAAAGTTGGCTACCTGTTGTCAAATTCCCAATGTAACCAGTTCTAAGAGTTTTACTTACTGAATCAGTTGCAATCTATCAGTTTAATATTGTCTTTGCAAATGTGTCAAATGGCACTCATTTGCATTGGTGATAAAGTGTCCAGCAAGTGAACACCTTCTAGCTTCCGATTTTTCATCATAAACAAACACGAAAACAAATAACCAAATAGACAATAGGGGGGGAAACGAATTGTGCAAAGAAAATTGCATGACAAATTTATAATACATATTTGTATTTCTCAAAGCTCACTTCATTTTGGTACAAAAAAGAGTTCAATGTGAAGAACAATGTAATACAACACACGTGCGGAGGGCAGTGAATTCCATTGCCGGCTTCTTGCACTAAGAAAACTAACATTTTATACATTGTGCAGAGTGTTCCTTTATTTTTTTATTGAAAGCTCTCAGAAAACCCTGGTTTTCTAATACAGTTTGGATCCAGCCAGTTGATCTTCACTAAAAAACATGAGCACCTTCCGGCATGTCCTCACATCAGATATCATTCACGCCGTGATGAATTCTTGAACAAGGCATAGGCATCACTATATATGGCCACCACGTTTGAGAACACAGCTAGTACAATCATAAAAACACTCAAGATCTTGTCCTTCTTAGTGGCTATGTTGTGTCGATCCCTGACATACCAAGGAAAAAGAGATGAATAGTAATTCCAATTATATTCACAAAACTGACCTAGCTATGGGAAGAACCCAGTAAATAATATCCCTATCCTTTCACGTTTATGAGATAAAAAGGCAGCATACGCATAAAATCTGTGAGATATGATGACCTTAAGTCCTAGGCTATTCTCTGCAATCTACTATTCTCCAAATTGGAAAAAGAAAACAATTGGTTATCAAAGTAAATAAAAACCTGAACTAATAGATAGTTCTTGTGATCAAGTCAAAAACTCACTTGAGAGTAATTGCAGCAGGAAAAATGAACCCAAGGCAAACTGCAGCAGTTGCTCCAGTGAACTGGAAAGCATCCCAGATGCTGGGGATAAAGTTTGCACCCAAGAAGATGACACTTATGAGCCCAATGGTGACCAGTGCAAATCTCATATTATCCAGAACCAACGGCCTTGCAGAGGGAAAGAGGAGGCCATCCAAGTTGAGCCGCAATGGGAAGAAGACGATGGGAAACACAAGCATAAGGTGAGCAGCATAGCTGACACGAACAGCATCATTGAGAACGGAACTGTAAGGTAAGCCAAGGTTGGTGTCAAAGTTGGCAAGCACATCGTCAAGAGTTCCGTCCCCAAATAGGAGGAACCCAAAAAGGCTTGTCATTATGTAAACAGATGAGCATAAAGCAAGTGAGGTTTGCACAACCCCTCTTATCTGCGTCGAGTCTTCAAGTTCATTGTGGATACTGTGCACTGCAGATGAATTGATCAGGAAGATTATTACTCAACACATAAGTGTATGCAATTAAAAGGTGAAAAACAGTTCAAATATGAGATCTCCCACATTCAACCAACAGTCCCATTTCTATAGTTTCAAGTGTGTACATTATGCCAAAATGTTAATTTTAAATCACTTTTAAGTATCACTGGGTGCTGGTATGGAAAAGTACAAGGCCAGGATGATAAAAGGATCAAGATGTGTCAAAATACCAAATTTTGTATGACTAAAGATGTCACGGTTTTAATTTTAAACAAAAAATAGAGAACATATTTTAACATGATTTAGTTAAAAAATTAAGTGAACATTTTCAATGATAAGAATACAGGAATCTGGTGGATAGAGGGGTATGTAAACCCATTCAATTCAATTCTGACATCGAAATCTGACATGCTACTGCTCAAAGTTTGCTTCAAATTTATGTTTTGCTAAATAGTGATTCATTTAACAGGGGAAAAGGGAAGAAAGGAACTGAAGCGCAAACATACAAATCCACCAAAAATTTCTCATTCTTATATTGCAGAAACATGGACCAAGTTCTAGGCAAATGAACTCTATGTAAGTGAACAAACAACAGTTTCCATACCATTGTAGTGACAAATGTATGCAGTGACAAGAACAGGGACTACAGTGAAGAGTTTGAAGAATGATGAAACGTCGGTAACATCAGGTAACAATCTGGGCATCGCAATGCTTCCATTGAACAACTTGAAGACCGTAATTCCAACAGTAATAACAAGAAATACAACTGCTAGTGCAACTGATAAGGCAGACGTGAAGCTCAATGAATCTGCAACCATAATAGGCCTATTAAGATCACCGAAACATTATATTCCAAATGGAAAAATAAAGAATAAGGTCTAACAAATAATAGGCTCAAATTCAATAAAGCTATAAAATTTAATAATAAATCACCACTCCACCAACAACTTAAGTCAAAAGCTACAGAATGATTCTTGACCAAATCACTGTATGCAAGTGAAAGTGACAGAGTGAAAACTGAATAGGGAAGGGCACTTGTTTAAACAAGAGGGTTCTCATATAAATCTGCTAAACATATGTTACCTTAACCAAATCACTCTATGTGAGTGAGTGATAGCAGTGCACCAAACAATGCCTTCAAACATAAAAAAATAAAGAAAGACTAACCGATTCGCTTAAAGCATGACAATGGAGCAAATATGCCAAGTGTGGTGACAAGAAGAATAATGGCACGCCCAGTCCACCAGTGTTCTCCAAACCATCCTTCAAGTACACCAGCATGGTGAACACCACTTGAAGATGTTCCAGAAAGCACATCACCTTCATTTAAGTAATACAAAGATTGTTAGACAAATTCAGACCTTTCCCTATGACAAGCCTGAGCAGATCTCTAGGCCAACAAAAATATTCACCAGAGAGATCAAAATGACAAAATTGTAACAGAGTAAATACAATACAATCTTATAGAGCGAAAGACATACCAATAATAATCATGTAGACAATGAGCACGCCAAGGTTGTTGACTAGAACAGATATCTGCAACAAAACCTTCCCATATTTTCCAAAGGCCTCCCCCATAAGACCTCCATAAGAAGCAGACTTCCCGGCTCGGCTGAACCTAAGTATCAATTCAATTGAAGCTTCGGTCAAGAAGGCCATAAAGATGATCATGGAAATTCCAAGGACAAGGCCCAACACTTTCATGGTTGCAGGCAAAGCCATGATCCCGGCACCAACAATTGTGGTTGATAAATTGAACACTGCTCCAGTAAAGGAAGCTCCATTAAACTCATCAAACACAACATCCTCTTGCCCTTTGGGCAACAAGGGGGCATTCTCATCAATAACTCCTTTGCTCTTTCTTGACTTCTTTTCCTTCTTTGGTGCAAGATTTCCAATCGTCATCTTGTGATATCTTAAAAATCTTCAAAACAAAGGTTTAAAGCTTATGGAAAATCTATAAAGCAGCTCAACCACCTACAAATATTTGCTTCAATAAAAATTTTGTCCAACGGTCAAATTATATACTCTCTTTTTTCAGATTGAGGATAAGGGAAAGAGCAAACACAAGCTAGATGAAGAGGATTTTCAGACACAATGACCCAAACAGCCAAAAATTCACAAATATTGAATTCTTGCTGAGAATACAAAGGTTGGTCCTTTGCAAATGCTACCAAATTGATTGTGAAATGAATGCACAATTCTTTTTGGGGCAGATATTTTGAAAATCTCAAATGAAAATAAAATCCCAGGAGCAAAAGTATCAAAATTTACCTTTAGCAAAAACAAAGAAAGTATCAGAATTGAATTGAATTGAAAACACAAGTAATTCTTCAATATATCACAGTTGAAGGTGGATCTTTACAATCATTAGCTGGACTTTCAATATCAACAAGGGAAGGAAACCCAAACCCAATTTCCCAGATAGCAAACTTGAGAAAACCCAGTTCTCCCTCTTCAAAGAAAAGCACCCAAAACCTAACCAATCAAACCCCAGAATTGAAGGTCAATGATTCAGCAGACCCAAAGCAAGAAACGCGACTGAATTCTTCAGTTAAAGGTTTGATTTTTATAGCCAACCAAAATTCAAGGAAAGAGAAATACACACGCCAATAAAGCTTGATATTGAATAACAATAATGGAGGTGGTGACAAAGACTGGAATTTAATAATGTTAAGTTGTTTTCTTTTTCTTTTGGTGTCTGTGGAATTATTGTGGATTGGTGAAATGAAATTGACAATGAAAACCCTAATCCACAAAATTCCACAAACTGTAAAATTTGTCGCTTTTGGTGTGAAAGTTACGGACTTTATAAGAGTAGAAGGAAAGACGTCCGCAGATGTCTACGTCAAAAGAGGAAGCTTCGCAATTGGATAATAAATTGGCTATTAATTAACAATTTACTGCCATTGCTCTGTTCATCAGCTTTCTAATATTTTTTTTCCCATATAAGTTTTTCTAGGCATACTCTTTTAAGTAACAAATCTATTTTTCTATATAAAAAAATCTATTTAAAAATACAATTATGACGGGTTAAACTTTGATGAGTGAGAAAATTATATGGATAAGTTGAAGAACATGAACAAAAATAGAAGCCTGTAAATGATTTGATGAGTGAGAAAATTAGATGGATAAGATGAACAAAAATAGAAGGCTATAAATGATTTGGGAGAAATTAATTTTCCAGAAATGTCACATGGGAAAAGAAAAAAAATCTTAGAAGGTTCAGATATTTGAACCAAAAAAAAAAAGGTTCACCTAAGATTATTAGGGTTTGTTACACCATTTTGGGGATTTCCAAAGTAAGAATTTTTGTTTTCTTATTGGTAAGTTTGTATGATTTTAGTGTAATGGTTCAACTACCTAACCTAGGATATTAACATATAGGCCTAGGAGAAATTTACTATTATGCTAATAGTGTTTTCTTTGTAAATATTGGAGCAAGTGTGAGCCACAAATTATAAAATGTTAGAGTTGATGTCATCCAAGGTGTAAAGATGAAATTGATTAACCTATGCATGATTCTAATCTAATCTATCGGAACCTTAAGCCACAACCAACAAAACATGACATCAAAATTATGTGCTTATATAGGAGTTACACACGTATGTGAGATAAAATTATTCGATGCGATGATAATACATTATGCCATATTCATAAAGTATCTTATAAGTGTAAATTTTAAACTCGAAACTTATTATAATTTAAGTAAATATGTAAGATCACGTAACTATTGTCATATCAAATAATTTCGGGTGATGTGAGTGATTAATGTGAATCATTATTGTCATTAAGAATTAGTTATATAATGTTGCAAATTAAGTCAATGGTTGATTTCATCACTAAAATTAAAAGCCACACATCATCAATGACAAAGATCAGGGAACATATAAATTGTGATGCAGTGTTCCCAACAAGAAGTGTCGTTTCAATTTGGAAATCTCATGTATGTGGCCTGCCAGTGCCAGTGTTGGTGAAACCATGTTTTAGGCTCCCAAAAATAACCCTCCTTTTACACAAATTTTACCAACTTAACCACAGAAATTAGACAATGATGACAATGGTAACCCACCAACCAAACACTACATTTAAAAATAAAATAAAAAGACCAATAGGTTAATAAAGCTAATATAATATAATCATGTGGTGGTGGTTGCAACAGGTGTAAAATTTGCTGATGCAGTAAGTACAAGGAATCTTTAGGCACTTCCTCCTTCCTCTTCTTTCTCACATCAGCTAATCTGTGATTAGTGAGCAAGATTAACAAAAAAAAGAAAAAAATTAAGAAATTGTGGACAGAATTAGATTGCAAATCTATTCCTTTGGTACAGTTCAATATTACAAAAACAAAATCCATTAATATATTATATGGGTTGGATTTTAGGAAGTGGGCCCATGAGCCCAATATTCCACCAACTGGATGGCCCACCATTTTCATCATGGGACACGGTGACTCGAAGATTAAAATGTGACTCAGAAAAGTTGATTGATATTAATATCAATAGATTAATAAAAAGGAGTGGTGCAGAATTTTTCACTCACATTTTTCAATCAATCAGACTCTCACTCTCTGTTAAATTTTAGTGAATATTTTATATTGATCTTGCGCATGTCGATGTACATACACGTCAGCATGGCCGCTAAAATTGAACCAAATTGTTTTAAATTAGTTTGGTTTGATTTAGTTTCTTTAATGACTTTTGTCAAAACCGAACTGAACTAAATCTTTATATTGTAATTGGTTTGGCCGTAGTTTTATGGTGAAATCGATGCAATCCGAAACATGCCCACCTCTATACGTGCGCTTGACCACCATGGTCTATAAAAAAATATGCAATTGCAACAGGCTAATAACTCAAGTGGTTGAAAGTAATATCTCTATACTAGAAGTTTAGTGTTCGAATCCCTAGCCCAATATTCTTGTATTAGAAAAGAAAAAAAAACAGCAATTTTTTTTTTTTTTTTTTTTTTTTTTTAAAATGTCATATACCAATTATCTATATCTATATATATAAAACAAAAAGCAAGAATTGTGAAACATTGAAAATACCATAAAATACCCTTGGTTAATTCAAATATTAAGAATTGAAATTATTAATTAAATGAGGATAATATGGTCAATTCACATTTTTTCATATTAAAAAAATTAAAATTAAAAACAAAATAAGATAGTATGTCCTACTTTTATGGAACATAACTACCCATATTATCTTTTCTTAATTCTAAAAAGAAAATAAAAAGAAAAAAGAAAACCAATTGGCACCGTGTGTCAAGGGGCTAGTATATATAAAGTAAAAAGCAGAGAATGGTAAAACATTTAAAATACCAGAAAATGTCATTGGTTAATGAAAATATTAAAAATTGAAATTATTAATTAAATAAGGATAATATGGTAAATTCACTCATTTTCATTTTAAAGAAAATTAAAATGAAAAGAAAAATTAGATAATGGATCCTATTTTTATGGAATACAACTACCCATTATCTTTTTTAATTCTAAAATAAATTTAAATTTTTTTATAAAAAAAAACCCTCTAACAGACGGCTTAGAGCATCTCCAACCGATGTGTCAAAAGTGCCACATAGACCTTTAACAGCTAGAAATAACATCTCACATCACTTCAACCGATGTGTCAAAACTGATGTGGAATGAAGGCTGGAGGTTGAGATGTTATTTTTGACATCCCAAAAGTAAGATGTCAAATGAATATTTTATTATTTTTTCTTTTCTTTTCTTTTTAATTCAAAATAAATCAACACTAAAATGTAATAAAATAATGATTTAATTTGACATATCGGGTGGAGTGTAAAGCTGTGTAAAATGTCAAATAGCCACATCAGCCATCAAATTTAAATTTGATGTTTGGTATTTAACATCTCCCTTGGAGATGCTCTTAGAAGCGAGTGCGGAGAGGTTAGTAAATAAATAAAAAACAGTTTTGGGCTGATCAACGTTGTTTTATGAGGTAGAAATTTTGGGTTTTGGTGGGCCCAAGACCATAGTTTCAATATCCACCGACTCAAATTGGGCCCAAAACAACAAGCGCGCAACACGTATCATGCAAAATGGAACCATCCTTTTTTTGTTTCTTCCTTGCACGGTTTTTTTTCACTGTATTTGTCTTTCTGCCTTCCCGAGCTCTAACAGAGGCCGAGAAAATTGTTCTAAAGGTACGAGCTTGCTTTCCGCTTTCTTACTGTTTTTTGTATGTATGGGTTTGCTGAGACTGGAAAAAAAAATGGTGTTGTTATATCTGCCATTTCCTAGATTTCGTTTGTATTGTGGAATGTAGGAGATGGGTGTGCTAGAATATGTGCTTCAGAATATGGTTGGGCTCTTTTTGATATATTTGAATACTTTACGATGAGCCTTCTAAAATCTGATGATCTTCAATCATCCAGAGTTTTAGAAAGAATGTAAATCAAGGAACTTTAATTGTTTTTATTTTCAATCAAAATCATGACTGAACATATGATGTGCAGTCAGTATTGAATATCACTGAGCATACCTTTTGTGCGTTTTAGATTTTTTGTTAATGGGTATTTGGGTTCTTGATTTTGGATTTTGGAAGATGTCCTTCGAGCTCATAAAAATATTCCTCTTTTTATATGTGGGAAGTTTTTTACATTTTCGTGTGTATTGTTTGTAACAAACTTAAGTTATGTTGATATTCAGGTTTCAGAACCATTTTAACAAGTACACCATTAAAATGGATTACGATGGTGGTCCTGAAGCAAGTGTATCTGTCAATGATGTTAATATTGATGACCCAGAAGTGGATTCGAGTAAAGTTGGCAACCTCGAAAGTGTCTCATCTGATGGTGTGATTGTTGGAGAATTAAGAAGTGTTGGCGAGGTTTTTACCAGAGTGGAATTGGATCTAGCGTGTGCTTCTGAGAAGTTA